ACTCAGGAAGAGGCCAGCCCTCTTCTCGTACCGACAGCCTTAAACGAGGCCCTGACCAAGAAATGCAAGAACTATCTCAAAATTCTGCGAAGCATGAATGCTTCGCCAAGAAAACAAAAAGTTCGGAAGAGAGTTTTCCCCTGTTTCAACTTTAGACCCTGACTCTTGTAGCAGTGGTACCTGTGCTGCTGGGGAAGGGAGGAGACGTGGTGAAAGGCCCATCGCCCCTCCCTTGGGGTCCGCCTACGCTGTTACAAACTCCGGATCTAAATCACCACCACCTCAACTCCCCTTCCCCTTCCTCCTCCCCACCCCACCCACGGCCTCTTTACTCCCGCCCCCAATTACTGCAACTCTATCCAATCTAACCGGGCCGGGTCGAGTTTTAGCAATTGCTTCGGGGTACCCAACAGGGCAATTACAAAAACTCGGCTTGTCTCATACACGAGCCGCAAAAAATTTTTTCTCCCGACGGAAGGTAGGACTGCCCCAAGGCAGATAGCGGCAGTTTGAATGTGGCAGTTGGAAGTGGGGGTGGTATGTGGCGGGTTTCGTTCGAGGCAGGGAAGAAGGGCTAGGATAGGTGGATGTAAGGATTAAATGGCGTAGATGCTTTGCCAATTGACTAAGAAACGTACATTTGGAGGGAAGAGGGGAGCGGTGAAGAACCGAAAGAATGAGGAAGTGTGCTCCTGGTTTTTACCGTAGATTCCTGGGATAGGGAAAAGTAAACACTGTTTGCTTGAACAGTGATATTACAGTAGGGATAGAGAAGGGTCTATATCTTGTTTGCTGACGGGATTTAGGATAGGGTAGAGAAGGGGAACGAGTATGCAAGTCAGAACTCCAGGCAAGAACTAGAGATAGCAGTAAAGAGAAAAAGACAACACTGCGCACACAAATAAAAGTAAATTAAAACAAATCTGAATTTATGAATAAAAGCAAAAAAATCTGAGGTTTTGCTAGAGTAAAAATTTTTATGACTTGGGGGGTGAACTAGTATGGTGGATCGTTGTGTGGCATGGTGCTCTGAGCGTACGCGCACTGTAGAGAAGCATAATCAAGTTTATGACTTACTGATGATGAATTGTGCAAGCAGCAAATAAACAGCAAGAAGTGTGGCGCTTGGAATCTAACGAGTCTGTGGGCTTGCTGAGCAAGAGATGTTGAAGCAGAGAATGGTCGATGAGGCCCAGAAGTGTATTAGACAAAGTCGAGTCGAAATCCTTGAAGAGTCCCGGATAGGGGAATGGGTGGTTTATAAAGGGAAGTAAGAACCACCCCAAAAGAGGATGTGATAGCTTTTGGAGGGGTTGGGAATGTTAAAATTAAAAATGGTATTTAGGGTAAGGGGAAATGGGGAAAGGGAAAATGGAAATAAGGTTTTTAAGGGGGTCAAAAAAGGACTAAAAAGCAAAAATAACAAAAGTGCAGCATCTGCGGATGCAGGTGCGTTATCAAAAATAGGACTAAAAACGGGGTAAAAGAAACGAATATTTAATATGGTTTTTATGTACAGGCACCAAATATTTATACTAGTGAAGACTGATCCATAAAAACCCGACATCAGTAGGGGACTTCCCTCTTTATGAAACTCATGCTTAGGTAAAGTTGTTTCGCTAAAACCCATCATCAGACTTTCTTATTTATAAAACTGATGTTTAGGTAAAGCTGTTCCACTAAAACCCACCATTGGGCTTCTCTTATTATGAAACTGATGCTTAGTTAAAGCTGAGAGCGAATAAGTTCCATGAAGTGGGCAAAAACAAGGTAGAATTGATGCCAGGGGTTGAAGTCAGCCTTTGCTTCGATGAGATTTTGAAGACAAAACCGAGGCTGGAACGCACAGGCTCTCCGGTGCGATCATGCGTTTTTGCACTAAACTCGCTGATAGCTACTAGCAGGAATTATCCCTACGCTGTAGCCTAACACTTGGGTCATATTGGCCGTGCTTTGATCCTTTCCGGCATGCAGGGAGGAAGGGCCAGTTGGGATGAAGGTGGTGCATTATAGAGCCGCACGGACATCCAGTGCATGATTACCGGTTTTTTGCATGAAGTCCGGTCATTTTTTCGGCAAATGCTCACTTTGTGAAAAAATGACAAATGCAAGTTTTTTGAAAAAATGCAAATTTTCAGTTCAATACCCAGGCTGGAACGCACCAGGCGAGCCGGTACGATCGTGCGTTTTTGCACCAAACTTTGAGGTACTCCATCATTATTCCCCTTTCCTTGCCTCACCCCCTCCA